CGTCACGCTTGTCGCTGACTTCATCACCGTCATCGTCATCGTCCTCATCATCATCATCATCATCATCATCATCATCATCATCAGTGTCATCGTCGTCGTCATCATCATCCTCAACCTTTTTTCACTTTCATCATCGTTCTCATCATCACCATCACAATCATCACCACCATCACCATCATCGTTACCATCATCGTCATCATCGCCATGATCATGCCATCGTGTACGTTGCCATCATCATAGTTGTTCCGCCTCCTTGTCTTCATTCTCATCCTCATGCTCACCGTTGCCAGCATCATGATGTCATCGTCATCATCATCGCCACCACCATCATAACCACCGCCACCAATGCCATCATCATCATCATCACCATCATCATCCATCACCATCACCCTCATCAACAATATCAACATCACCACGCCAAGCTGCCACGTGGTCGCCGTCATCGTGTTACCACTCATCATCCTCGTCATCACGGGAATGAGCATCAACCTTGTCATCATCGTCGCCGGCCAGATGCTCCAGGAGAGGCCTCCGGGGGCATTGGGCCGACTGCGCGCCTCGGGAAGTCTCTCGGAGGCTTTTTTTGGGGGGGAGGGTAGAAGGGGAGGGCTCCTGGAACCTGCTTGAAGTTTCTCTCGGGCGCCTCTTGGGCCGTCTCGGGAGCCTCTTGGGCCGCATGGAAGGAGTCTGGAGGCATCTGAGGCCCATCGAATGTGAAAAGGCAGGGTGTTGAACACCAGTGGCTTTCCATTGTTTTAAAACGATTTTGGCGTCTTTCTGGGCTCTTGGGTCCTCGTTGGCCGACCAGCGACCCCAGGGGTGGGAGGAGGGAGCAGCACGTAGTGGCATTAGCACGCGGTCGACCCCTGGAAGCCAGGCAGCGGCCGTAGTAACTACCTTCGGCAGTGGACCAGAGTGCTCATGGATGTTTGGTGGGGTCTCTTGGGAAGCCTCTCGGGGGTCTCTTGGAAGCAATTTGGAAGCTCCTCGGAAACCGTTCTGGAGCCTCTTGGGTCTCTTGTGGCCTCGTGGAGGCCTCTAGAGCGCCTGCTGGAGATCTCGGGGGTCCTCTTGGGGCGGAGGACTCGAGATGTCAGTTCGTACTCCCCCTTTTGGGCCCCTCCTGGGCTGTCTTGGAAAGCTCTTGGCCCGTCTTGGGGCTATCTTGGGCTCTCTTGGAACCTTCTTGACGGCCTCTTGGGGTGTTTCGTTGCGATACTGGGTGCCTCTTGGGCCGTCTTGGACCGTTGGAAGCCTGAAGATGCCAGAATACTGAAATCATTCAAAATCCTGCAGAGAAGTTCGATTTTTTTGCCTCGGGGGTCCTTCTTGGCGGTGCTCTTGGAGCCCTCTTGGGGAGTCTTTGGGGCCTTCTTGGGCCGTGTTGAGGCCGTCTTCAGCGCCCTTGGAGCGCTCTTGGACTGTGTTCGGGTCCTCTTGGGCCTCTCTTAGGCGATCTTGGGGGTATCTCAAACCGTCTTGGAGGCCTCTTGGGCCGTCTTGAGACCTATTGCCCTTCTGGAAACCTCACTGGCACCTTCTTTGGCTGCCTTGAAGCCTTCTTGGGCCGCCTCGCAGCATTCTGGGGCCGTTTCGGCGCTCTTTGGGGGGCCTCCTGGAGGTCTCGTGGGCCGTCTTGGCGGTGGCTGCCCCTGGGGACCTCAGGAGCCGTGCCGAGGCCATCTTGACTGCTCTTGGTGCCCTTCTGGGCCGTCTTCGGCTCCTCTTGGGTCCTCTTAGGCGGCCTCCTGGGCCGTCGGGGGGCGTTCCCGAGCCGTCGACTCGAGGCCTCCTGCGCTCTCTTGGGGCCCTCCCCGGCGCCCTCCTGGGCTGTCTTGGAACCTTCTTGTCCCGCCTTGCGGCCCTCTGGGGTGTTTTCGGCGCTCTCTTGGGGGACCTCCGGGAGGCCCCGTGGGCCGTCTTGAGCGTTTGGGAGCCAGGACGCGCAAGAATCCTGCACAGCCCAAATCAAATCAAGGTTCTTGGTCTCCTCAAAGCCTCTTGGGGACGCGCTGGGGGGTGGGCGGGCAAGGACCTGGACAGAGATCCCCGCCGCGCCCCGACGAGGGCTCATCAAACTTTCGGCGCAACGTGGTGACGCTCTAAGCCCCTACGGCGCCGATCGCAAACCACACCCCGGCAAAACCACACCCATTGTAGTCGCCGAGAAGGGCCCCTGCAGGAAGGACCGGGCATAGTGAGTGTCAACGTTACGCGGATGCAGGGCAACGGTAGGGAATCCTCGTCCCTTCCTCGTTATTTTCTCCCCCTGGTCCCAGGCCCCCCCCACATGGGGTCCGAATAGACGGAGTTGGAGCCAGAGCACAATCATCTACATCCGGACGTCGCCGATGCACCTCGGACGAGTCGTCGATGCGTGAGCCAACCTACATACTCGGACCCCATTTGGGAGGCCTCCAATGGGTCCCTCCCCCCTCATTCCTCTCTTGAGGGGCCTGCTCAGGGGAGGAAGCATCGACCTGGAATCTGCGATACATCGCCGACAGTTCGGCGATAGGCCCCCGATAGCGAATCCGCATGGTTCTGGGCGTCGGTGGGCGATTGGGCCCGATGTACCAACGACACATCAGCAATTGGTTGCGATTGGGTGTCGACGCATCCTCCCCTGAGCCTATCATGCCCCCCCTGCTGACGTTGCCCGGTGGCTTTCGGGTCATAGCTCGGATGTCTGGCGGCCGTTCGGAAGGATCCAGACACCCCGAAACGCCCTCGGCGAGGCGCAACTGCATCCCGACTCTGGAGAACCGCCGGGGGAAGGAAGAGGAGAGAGGAGCCACCTCCTCCGAATTCGCCGCCATCTTGGATGGCTCGTGGGTATCTCCCTGGAGCTCTCTTAGGGGTCTTGAAAGTCTTCTTGGAGCCTCTTCGGGGCGCCTCTTGGGGCCTCTTGGAGCTTCTCGGAGGCGTGTTGGGGGCCTCTTGGGGGCACTTGGGCCTTTGTGGGCCTCTTGGGAGCCTCTTGGGCGCCTCCTTTCGGAACCTCTTGGGAGCGTCTTGGGGGCCCCGTTGGTGCGTCTTCGGGCGTCACGGGAATCTCTTGTGTCCTCTTGAAGCCACTTGGGTGCGCTCGGGGCGCCTCTTGGGGCGCCCTTGGGGATCACGCGCAAGTATCAGAAGCGTATAGGAGGCGAAATGCGAGAACGCAGAACACGTATACCTTCCGTCGGTAAATGACGGACTTTGGCCTCGCAGGCTTCCTTGGAGCTCTCTTGGACGGTCTTGGGATCCTGTTGGAGGCTTCTGGGAGCTCCCTTGGATGCTCGTGGGAGCCTTGTGAGCCGTGGGGGCGCTGTCGTGGGCGGTCTCAGAACCCTTTTGGGCTGTCTCGGAAGCGCTCCAGGCCGTCCCGAGGCTTCCTGGGGCCACCTGGGAGGCCTGGGAAAGCGTCCCGAGGCTCTCCTGGGGCCGCCTGGGTGGGGGACCTAGGAGGACGGTACCGGGATTTGCCCAAGATCAAATCGAGGTGGGGGTTGGAGCCCTGGTGGGGTGGGGGGCGTATAACTTCATATTTTGTCATGTATGTATGTATATATTTATACATGCTTACATATCTATATATACACATTATATCTCTGTGAGGATATTTAGGTGCAACTGAACGACGACCTTCCAAGATAAAATCGCTCAAACAATGCGACCTTCCGGGAAATGTCTGTTCGGACGGGCCGACCCGAATCCAATGTCAACGAAATGTGTCGATTTGCGCAATCTTCTTGCGGAGAAACTGGCAATACCGTATCCTAAACAACACCGACATTACTTTCATCCCGTGCCACCTCACATCCAATCTTCCGAGCACTGAGTGGCAAACTTGCAAGCATGACGTGGGCGCGCTCCCTTGCACCGTGAACGCTTGCGTGCCCATGTGATCCGACAGGGAATAACACTTCGCCACGTCTCCGTCACAAGAAGACGCCGAATTCCAACCATGTTGAGCGTGTTGCGTGTTTTTTTCGGACTCGGAAAGCGAACTAAGACACGGAATCTAATCATCCGGCACGTACCTGGCGAATGTAATAACCGCCACCGCGCTTGCAATGGTTGGTGTGTGTTGGGCCGTTTGAATTTTCGCTCGTTGCGCTTCTTGCGGAGGAACCACGGACACGTCCCATCGCATCGAACCCAACATGCGTCGTGTTTTGCGCCAAACCCTTGGCGATTTTGGCACTCCGCGGAAGGCATGACGTCCAAATCGCATTGAAAAGGTGCGTAGTTCTGTGTACTCCCGCACCTCCGGGCCCTCTCTCCCCCTCGGGCGCTCCCCAAGCGAGGTGGCGGATCCGCGCGGCAAAGCAAAACTATCTCGACGAAACAACCACGCGACAATACCGTCAAAGGTTGGCAGGGGCACTGCAGGTCAACAAGATATCATATGATATAACAAGCTCAACAGAAGAAACATGCTCTGATCCGCAGACCTCCACGCGCCCTGCACAAGCTGGCGTCATTCCGCTTGAACCGCCAAGTCTATTCGGCATCGTGCTACCATGTTCACTGTGGGCCAGGGTGGGCCAGCAATGCAAATTGAAGCATGGCCAGGCTCAAATTAGCTAGTCCAAATCCAAACAAGCGTACATCCTGTAAGTTTAAAACATGCGCTTGGGCCCGCGAGCCCCACGCAAACGGCGGCAATGGACGGCCAAGGGAAGGACGCACTGGGATTTGGACTTGCTACATCGTGGAGCCAGCAAGGGCCAGCGATGCATCCGTTCAAACGCATAGTTCCCCCCATCAGAGGGTCGTGGAGAGGGGAAGCATCGCACTGATGATCCAGCGGTGTCATGGGCCACTCACGCACCCCCAGGGGAGACCCAAGGCTGCAACTACGCAGACTGCGTGCGTTGTGCTCACAAGTGATCATGTGTTCGCGTCGACTTGTCCAAGCCACCTGCTGCTTCTATTCCTGCAGGGGACCTGAGTGCACCTTCGCTATGCGTTGAGTCTCTTCAGTATTGATGTCGAGACGCATGCTTGACCAATGTGAACAACCACCATCTGGATAAGCCATTTGATGGTAGAGTGATGATGGCAGGCGATGTGTGCAAGAGAAACACGGGGCGGACGTAGCAATGACAACATAACGAAGAATGAACATTTTTTGAAGCAGCAAACACCGCAGTTCTGGTCATGCCCAAGTTTGTTGCGTGTCAGCACTCGGTGATACACAGGGACATTTGCGCGTACAATCTGCTCGAAGAGAAGCTCGAGGCATTGCTCTTGACCTACACAGCGGTGCTGAAGTTAAAAGCATCCCAACAACATCGATGAACTAGGCTGGCGACGTGAACCGTACCAAAGCATAAGCGCGGCAATCATTGCGGGAATGCGCATGCTAGAACGAATCCAAGCTTCAGTCCGTGGGAACATTGTCGAGGGAGCGTTGCTGCCGAGCGATACAATCCTTGCATAACAAATAATCACACGTCTGGCATTCCAGGACGGCCTCACCAAGCGGGATAGCTCTACTGCAGCCATCGCAGTCACCTGAGGTATCGCTAATCCACTTTTTCATAAGGTGCCCCTGCGGACATTTTACCATGGAGATCGGCGGCGGCATCTTTGCTGCAGCGGGGGCATGCCGGACTTGTGGCGCTGGAGTGCCACCATTGCAAGTGTGGCATAAGACGTAGTCGCAAACTTCGCAATCCATGACGGCCTCGCCTTTTCCTATTGGCTTCGCACAACCGTCGCACTCGCAAGTCACATCGCACTCCCACGACTTCAAAGGATGCCCTTTTAAACATGTCGTCTTAGACGATGCTGCTTGCTCTATTGAAATCGCTGGCTCTTCCGCCTCAACAACCGGTTCAAATCGCTCTGTCGCCCCAAATACTGTCCTCTTACCTTGTGGCTCAGAAGACTCTTGATTTTGGCAGTCGCTGCAAAGGAAGAAGTCGCACTCGCTGCACTCATGAACCAACTCTCCGACTTCGACTGTCCTGGGCGGGCGACGCTAAGACGCTGCCTTCCGCGTCTGGAAAGAACGCTTAGGCACGAGCAGGGGATACACGAACACATTTAGGATTAGTGCATCACGCCGTCTCACCCTGGCGGGAAGACATACGCATCACTCTGGATCAACCGAGGCACCACAGACCACCCGCCCCACCACGCCGTCCGCCTCACAGCCAGCACCTGTGTGGGACCCGAGACGGTCAGCGGCGATGACTCAGGGTGATTCTGGGGGCCTCCAGAGGTGTAGAACGAAACGCACGTGTAAATCTCTCTGCCAAATCAACCCTGCTGGCCATCAACGCGAGCCTTAGACATGAACGCCCACAGCCCTTGCTATGGCAGACGCCTGCGACTTCTCGCTTTCCAAATCCCTGCCAACACACATTCTTGACAAACATTTCGAACCGAACCCAACTTCTGCAAGGAATCGTACCCAATACGTACGCAGGCATGCTAATATCAAATACGAACGGTTTTCATGATGATTTGCACCCGTGCGTTGCGTGGCAGGACACTATATCCGGCAGGTTGCCTTCTATTGCAAAACGCTACGGTGATCCTGAATAATGTATGAGTGCGTACATGCATACACGCACACGCACGCGCACAAGCGTGCATACACAATGCACGCATGCGCATTTATGCGGCGAACGTGCGTCGTTCGTAATTCCTGTACTGATTGTTTAGTCAGGATATATGATAGTGCTGGCTTTATTCAACCTGCCTCGTGGAAGGTTCGCGCACTGAGCACTCGCGTTGCTGAGTGTATCATTGCATCGAATTCGACTATCTACCGACTCATGCCAAATGTCGGCGACACAGAAATCACAGAAGGCACCTGAAGGCGAGACGCAGCACGACACACATGCAACATTTCAGCGGGACGGCGCGAACAACCCAACATGCACACCACAACGCAACCCATGCGGAACGTTTGACGGCGCGGGCAGAAAACCACACGCACGGCAGCTCACGACACACACACACACACACTTTACGAGCTCAAGGGTCCATCGCCACATACGTGCATATCACAAGCCTGTGCGCCGCAGCACAGCGACGTCGCAGCTCCGGCTTCGTGATGGACTCTGTCGTAGAGGGTCTGGAGATCAGCACCAACACCAACACGAGGGGCTGCCTCCACCGGGGGGTCACGACCCTGGATCTTGGTGCTGGTGGTAATCTCTCGACCGTCCAAGAAATCCGAACGCTATCACTATCGCTGATCTCAGGATCATCTTCCCTCGGTTGGCCAATTCCTAGGCCTCCGATTGGCTGGGACGCGGCGCAGCATTCTTAGCCCGGGCTCCTCCCACACCTGTCGCAGAAGCCAGTGTCGGCCAGCTGCAGTTCCATGGAATGCCCCCGCGGACACTTGATTTCGCGCGGCGAGCACTCGGTGTGCTCGTCGGGCCACCAGCCCAGCGAGGACCTGCCCGACGGGAGAACAATTCTCATCATCCTCGGCATAGTCAACGGTGCCACCGTCATCGGCCTCATCACAGCCGTCATCACGTACCATCCACAATCATGGTCATCGAAACCATCTCCGTTCGTATCATCGGCATCGCCATCTATCGTCACTGGCTTCGTCAGCATCGTTATCACCTCTTTGAGCGAGTTGCTATCAATATTACCGAACAATCAACTCGAATGTCACGGCGTTTTGAATAATCCTGTGCACTCCCGTGCTTTCCCACATTGCCATATGCATCGCCATCCACCCACCACACTTGCCAACTCCTCTTCGAATGTTGCATATTGGTCGTCGCCAGGCTGGCAACGCCCACCTCTTGGGTTCACCTTTATACCGGGCATCCCAAGGAAGAGAAAGCGAGACACCCACCTTCCCCAGACCATTCAACGATCCACATCCGAAAGCAGCTGTGGCGTACCTACATGCAGGGTGCCCTCTTATTGTCTCCAATACAAGATATGTGCTGCACAAGTGTGTTCATGCAAGGTGGAGGGCTGATCAATTGAAATTTGCACACCGCGCTGGCTGGGGTCAGGATCTGATGTCCTCGGGCCAGCAATTTTGGCTGCTGGGGGGCGGGGGGATATGGTGAGCAAGTCATTCCACACGCTCCAAATTAAGCACATACATTTGTTTGGATAGCAAGCGCCCCAGGCAAGCGCATTTAGGATAATATCCCTAGTCTCCTCTTCCCTGGCAGAAGTGATCATGGCCAATCTTGTGAAGGGAACTCGGTCAGAAGATCGAATAATGCCAACGATACCGAGAATACCGCAAACGCCGGCTCAAGTCCAACCATACTGAGCAAATCCCGACCTCTTTCTGACAGCATGTCCACGGTGCGTCGCCTGCAGTTTCGTGGCTGCCTTGATCTCCTTCTCTCGCCTTGGGGCGTGGGGGGGCTACCTTCTGCACGCCCTGATCGCCCCGCCGCCTCCGCCTCATCTCCTTGCCTTTCTTGCGGATTTACCGATCTGGCGTGCGAAGTGGCCCACGAAAAACGTCCACATTCATGCAACTAAAGACGCAACGAACTCGATTGTAATGACGTCTTGCCAACATTGCAAGACAATGGAGCTGGTCGAATTGGTAAGGCAATGCGAGATGCAGACCTGCATGGCCCGAGTAGGGTCGAGTCAAGACATCCATCGTCCCAGGAGTGGCTCTGTTAGGGCGGCAGCTGCGCACAATGGCGCGCGGCCTTTCCAAGACAAGCAAACCAATTGCCACGATTGTTTGCCATGGGTAAAAGCAAAGACAATTGGCAAAACAAGGTCAAACACTGCATCTGTACTTTCAACGACTGAAATACCACCAGCAAACTGACGGTGCCGTGGGGCTGGTGCCGACCATGCGCCTCACGGATCCCGCACTTTCAACCGCAACGGGCTAGTCGGCCCTGGTATCGTGCGCCACAACATTGTAATTTCTCGCACATAGATCCGAACCGCGATGAAATCGCACATTCAGTAACACACCCCTCATGCTATCTCTTGCAACGTGTGTCCTGAATTGCCTCGGCAAGCGCTCATTCGCCAAGCAGTGAACCTACTGACGTGTATAATCTACATATAGTGTTAGCCAACGTGGGCCCCAACCAATAACTTCTTGCAACCTGTGCGATGCAATATCTGTGGTGTAATTCACTTGTCGGGCTTGTATTTGTCAACTCCACTGTTCGCGCAATCATCCCACCCACCCACCCGCAACTTGGTTTGCAAAACCCATGCGGAAGCGATTGCGATGAGTGCTGGGTGTTGGCTGGTGCATCTCTGTGGCCGCGCTAGCCCGCGCACGGTCGCGCGCGCAGCGGCCAGCTAGTTTGGCAGGACCGACGCGAACGCGGTGGCGCTGACCGCTCGGCACGTCCCAGCGGGCACTCCAATGCGAGTCGGCGACTTGGGCGGGCGCGGTATCACGGCAACGTCGACAACGTTAGACACGATGATGATAGTAGCGATGCTGGTGACGATGTTGTACAGCGTAACGGCGGGCCCAGTAAAGTACAGATAGAAACAAGAGCGACCGAAAGTGCACAATCAAGAACAGCCGGAACGACATAGATGACGGCGAGTTTCGCGTTGCGTTGGTGATGACGGTTTTCGAAAAAAATCGCCATGCGCGCGGGGCAAACGCGCGAGAGTGGCTCGCATGGAACTTTTTGACACGGATTGTGCCACCCCAGCACGCGCGCAAGGGCGTTCGAAACATTTCGACATGTGCGCGCGCGAAGCCCGTCTGGTAGCATTGTATTAAATTTGCGGGAAAACAACTCACGGTTTTCTGAAGAAATCGCAAGAACGCGCGCGTTTTTTTTTTTTGTTTTTTTTTTTTTGTTTTTGCTGCAAGTCCGTGTTGCGAATCCTTTTCATGTTTCTGTTTTGTTGTCAGGACATTCGATTTTTGAAATCCTTCCGAAACCGAGAGTTTTGTAAAGGATTTCGGCATGCTTGCGTGACGACGCGCGCGTGTGCACTTCGTCCCGTTCTGTGCAAGGGGCTCTTGACAATTTCTGATTTTGGATGAACGAGTGTGAGCGCATGATTTTTTGCAAAGGATGGCGGGGGACCGCGATGCCGGTTGGGCTGGGGTAGTATGAGTTCACAAGTAGGATGGACATTGGGTCCGAATCCTATGCGTCTTACATCGGTTCCCCGGGGAGTGGATAAGTCCGGGGTGGTGGTCGTGGAACTTATTTTTTAACATAAAAAACAGAATTCACTCGTCGAGCTTGCAGTGGTCAACTTCATTGCTCGCGCAATCATCCCACCCGCCCACCCGCAACTTGGTTTGCAAAACCCATGCGGAAGCGATTGCGATGAGTGCTGGGTGTTGGCTGGTGCATCTCTGCGGCCGCGACAACCCGCGCATGCTCGCGCGCGCAGCGGCCGGGTAGTTTGGCGCGACCGACGCGAGCGCGGTGGCGCTGACCACTCGGCGCATCCCAGCGGGCACTCCTGTGCGAATCGGCGACTTGGGCGGGTGCGATATCATGGCAACGCCGACGTCGGTAGACACGATGATGGTAGTAGCGATGCTGGTGACGATGCTGACAGCGACGACGGTGCAGCCAGTGGCGGCGCCGATGCTGATCACGCCGACGACGATGACGGCCTCTTCGCGTAGGTGATGAAGGTTCTGGAAGGAGTTCGACATGCGCGCGCGGCAGACGCGCGAGAATGGCCCTCGTGGTATTATTTGACGCGGATCGCGCCACCCCCGCGCGCCCAAGGGCATTCGAACGATTTCGACGTGCGCGCGAGCGAAGCCCGCTTGGCTGCATTCTGAAAAGGTTGAAAAAAAACTGCCGCTTCTCTGAACAAATCGCAAGAACGCGCGCGCATGTTTTTTTTTTTTTTTTTTTTTTTTTTTTTTTTTTTTTGCAAATCCGTGTTGCGGAACTTTTTTGTGTTTGCTTTTTTGGGCGCTCGATTGTGGACTCCTTCCGAGACCGAAAGTTTTAAATGAATTTCAGCATGTGCGCGACAACGCGCGTGTGTGCACTTCGTCCCACTTTTTGCAAGGGATTGTTGACAATTTACGATTTTTGATGAACGAGTGTGCGCGCATACATTTTTTGCAAGGGAACCGAGGGGGGCCGATGGCGGTTGGGCTGGGGAAGTATGAGTTCTCAGATAAGATGGACATAGGGTCATTATTACGTGTTTTGCATCGGTTCCCGGTGAATCGATCAGTCCAGGAGGTGGTGGTCGAACCTATCTCCTGTTTAGGAAAGAGATTTAATCGATACTCAACTTGAAGTCGCCCGCTCCACTGATCGCGCAAACATCCCGCCCGCCCACCCGCAACTTGGTTTGCAAACCCCATGCGGCGGCGATTGCGATGAGTGCTTGGCGCTGGCTGGTGCATCTCTGCGGCCGCGACAACCCGCGCATGCGTGCTCGCGTGCGCTTTGGCGCGACCGACGCAGCCGCGGTGGCGCTGACCGCTGGTCACATCCCAGCGGGCACATCAATGCGAATCGGCGACTTGGGCGGGCGCGGTATCATGGCAACGTCGAAGACGGTACGCGCGGTGATGATAGTAGCGATGTTTGTGACGATGCTGGCAGCGACGACCACGGCCAATGACGGCGCGGATGCTGATCGCGCCGACGACGATGATGGCGCCCTCGCGTCGGCGATGAACGTTTTGGAGAGAGTTTGACATGCGCGCGTGGCCGGCGCGCGAGAGCGGCCCGCGTGGCATCCTTTGACACGGATCGCGCCCCCCCCCCCCAGCGCGCAAGGGCGTGCGAACGATGTCGGCATGCGGCGCGAGAGGCCCGTTTGGCAGAATTCCATGAACATGTCAACAAACCAATGGATGTCTTACTCATTCGCAAGAGCGCGAGCGCGCCTTTTTTGTTGATACCTGATGTTGCGAAACCTTGTGTGTTCTATACAGATACATGCACACTTATATATACACATGTTTTTTTGACATTCGGTTTTGCAGTCGTTACGAAGCCAACGGTTTTTAAAGGATTTCGGCATGCGCGCGCGACGGCGCGCGCGCGTGCACTTCGTCTCATGTTTTTGCAACAAAGATTCTCGCGCGACGCGCAAGCAAGGGTGTTCGAACGATTTCGACATGCGCCGGCGCGAAGCCCGTTTGGTCGTATGTTCTGAAACTGTTGAACAACCTATTTTTTTTCTGAAGCGTTCGGAAGAGCGCGCGCGTTTTTTTTGTTGGTTGAAAATCCTTCTTGCGAAACCTTTTTTTTTTTTGGGGGGGGGGTTGGAGCGCGCGCTCTTGAAATCCTTCCGAATACAAAAATTGTGAAAGGTTTCGGCGTGCGCGCGGGGCGGCTCGCGAGCGCGCCCTTCATCTTTTTTTGCAAGGGATTCTAAACAGCATAGGGTTTTTGATAAACGAATGAGCGCGCGTGATGCTTTCTGTAGGGGGGCCGGGGGCCGATGCCTATTTGGCTAGGATAATATGATTTCTGAGGTAGGATGGACATTGGGTCCGAATCATATGTGGTTTGCATAGGTTCCCGGGGATCGATCAGTCGGGGGCGGTGGTGGTGGCGGAACTGAATTTTTCAAAGCAAAGAGAATCAGTGTAGTGCAAGCTACTCGGTGCAACCGATGTAGTGGAATATATGCGGTGCAATCTGTGCGATGCAACTCACTTGCCGAACTTGAAATTGTCCACTCCACTGCTCGCGCAATCATCCCGCCCACCCTGCCGCAACTTGGTTTGCAAAACCCATGCGGGAGCGATTGCGAAGAGAGCTAGCTCGCGCATGCTCGCGCGCGCAGCGGCTGGCTAGATTGGCGCGACCGACGCGAACGCGGTGGCGCTGACCGCTCGGCACATCCCAGCGGGCACTTCAGTGCGAGTCGGCGACTTGGGCGGGCGCGGTATCATGGCAACGTCGAAAAACAGTACACGCGGTGATGATAGCAGCGATGCTGGTGACGATGCTGACAGCGACGACCACGGCCAGTGACGGCGCGGATGCTAATCACGCCGACGACGATGACGGCGTCTTCGCGTCGATATGACGGTTTTGGAAGGAGTTCGAAATTCGCGCGCGGCAGAAGCGCGAGAGTGGCTCGCATGGTGTTATTTGACGCGGATCGTGCCACCCCAGCACGCGCGCAAGGGCGTTCGAACGATTTCGCCATGCGCGCGCGCGAAGCCCGTTTGGTAGCATTTTATACAAAAGTGGGTTATCTCAAGAATTCGCAGGAACGCGCGCTTATGTGGAAAATCCGTGTTGCGAGACTTTTTGTGTTTTGGTATATACCTGTGCATGTTGTATGTCCACAGACAAGAAAATATGCCCATAGACAAGAGAATATGATTGTTACAATATATATATGTATATATATATATATATCTGTATGTGTATGTATATATATGTATATAAAGGT